TATTTCTTTATTTTGAAAACAACTTTACTGGATATGTAGATTTGGGTTATATATTGTTTGCTCTTAGGCTTGAAATACGTCATTCCAAACTCCCCTGGCCATTAGGGTTTGAATCAAGAAGTCTTCTGTAATTCTAACAAGTTTACCTTCACATGCGATTTTTTGCTTTTCTCTCATTGCTCTTTTACGTCTGGATTTGTTGTTGGTTGTTTAGTAATGCTGCACTTTGGTGAGCTTCGGTGCCATCACGGTCGTCTGGTGTTCCGAAAGCCTCACTGATTTATGTTGCACTCTTCTCATGTTTGGGAAATTTTCGATTATGATTTCTATACATTAATAGTTCGGTCTGTGTCATCTTCTAACTCTTCTCTAACTTAGCTTAGCCTTAGCTTGGTCTTCATAGTATCATTTAGCAACTGCTGGATGATGTTTTCTTGTTCTCTTATTTCCTGTGTTCCATAATTTACCATTTCCTTCTCAATTGGACACACTCTGTCTTTGCGTTGGTCATTTCTGCAATTGAATTCTATACAGCTTTTGTTTCAGGTAGTTTTATCTGATACATTTTTAAGGATTCTATATCTTTGAAGAATTTATCTTTCATGTTTTAAACTGTTTTGGCCAGCTTTCCAATTTTTTATTTGCTTTCCCTAAATCCACTTTGGACATTTTAAATGATAATTCCATAAAGTTTTAGGTCATATCCTCTTTGAACTCTTCAAGTTTCTTCATCTCTTTTTAAATTTTAATTGTGCTCACCTGCCTGGCATTTGCTTTCCTCTCCATGGGGGCCCCCTATATCTACCCTGGGATAGTTGGGAGACCTGTGGCTTTTTCCCCCATATTCCTGGGTATATGTATATACAAATATATTTTTTCCTTTGAGGCTGATGGGTGATATCCAGTAGACTTAGCAGAGATTGTCCTTTATTGCCTTCACTGTTTTGTTTCTATTCTATTCTGTTCTGTTTGATTTTTACTATGTCTGAAGTTATCTGCAGCTATTTTGAAGACATCAGAAGGCATTAAGGTAACTATTGTTGATTTTGTAATGTTTTGAAGTCCTATACCATTTACACTGGTTTGTTTTGATTGGTTTTATTCTGTTTTATCCTCTCTAAAAGGCCTTCTCTTGGAGGCCTTTTATATTTTGGATTCATACTTAGTGTTGAGGGTTTAGAAAAAATACAGGGAGGACAAATGCAGAGTAGGTAATCTGGGACTGAGAAGGCTACAAAGTTGTCAGAACCTGTTGATGTATTTGTGCACCGGTAAGGTGGAGAAAAAGCTAGGGAAGACAGGTAAGATAAAGGGGAGTGAAAAAAGTACAACAGGCCAGAAAGGTACTGCAAAAGAAAAAGGGAGTTGACAGAAAGAGCAGAGCATAAGAAAAAAACTTGATAGGAAGTTTAAAAGTGGGAGAAACAGATAAAAAAACAATCATTTAATATTGCTACAAGTGTTCGAATTGGAGAAAGGTTTGGGAAAGAAGAAACTACTAAATCAATGAGAAGGAGGAGAAAAGAGAAGGAAAGCAAAGTGACAACAAAGATCCAGTGAAGAGCCAATTCAAATGCTCCAGCAGGAGCTCATCCTTGTGACTCCCGCGTGTTCCTCGTGCCATGTGGCCTATGTGTCCAAACAGTTCGCCTTACATTAGGTGCGTTCTGCTTGAATGTAGCCACATAAACTTATCCTCTGTGCAATCCCCAACCCCAGCCAGCAGGCAGGATTTGACCCTGACCCCAGCCTTGGCTGACAGACTCTTTTCTCTCAACAAGTTATAGCAGACTTGGCAGGTGTGGGGTTCCAGGCTGAGAATCAGTGGATATAGGGCTTCACATAGGGACTCAGATGGCTTAATATCTGGTATAGGGCCAGGTGGAGACTCAGGTGGGTGCAGGGAGGATGTGGGGCACTGGGTGGAGATTTAGGTGGATCCAGGACAACAAGTAGGGACTTAGGGAGACTTGGAACCAGTGCTGGATACCAGATGGAGATTGTGGTAGATGTGGGAGCAGCTCAGATCACTAGGCGGAGACTCAGGTGGGCTGAGGCCCTCAGAGGAGGCTTAAGAGGGCCTAGGAATGATTTGGGGTGCCGGACGCAGACTCCAGCAGGACCAGGGCACCAGCGACTCAGACAGATCCGGGACCTGTGCTGGGTGCCAGTCAGAGACTCATGCAGGCCTGGGGTCAACTTGAGGCATCAGGCAGAGACTCAACTGGACCGGGAGCACTTAATGGAGACTCACTTGGTCCCAGGAGTAATGTGGTGTGTCAGAGAGAGATTCACAGAGGCCTGGTCTCTGTTCAGTGGGTCAGGTGGACACAGGCCATGGGTGGACTCTGGTCCCTGTTCACTTCTTTAGTCTGTCACTGCACAGAGCCAGGAGTGGTTTGGGGGACAATGTTCCCCTGCCCTTGGTGAGCACTGGCAAGGATGCCACAGGGGTGCTGTGTCTTCATTATTTAGAGAGAAGATGATGGGAAAAAGGAACTGTTTACTCAGGAGACCAGTCTCTGCAGCAGATTCCCTCAGGATACCACAGAAGTTCTCAAGATGGCTGCTCCTACGATGAGGGAGGGCGGGGCCATGTGGACTGGTCCTGGCAGAGCTGCTTTCTCTCTAACTACCACCCAGATGTTTGGTTTGATCTACAGGTGTCTTCTTTCAAATTGCTTTTAATCAGGATGTAAGCCCCTTCCCCACTTCACCAGTTACATGTGTTTTAATTTGATCTTCCATGAGTATCTCTGATGTGACTCCTCCTCTAGTCAGCCATCTTCTCTCTCTTCTAGCTTCCTAAGAATGGATTTTTATAATAATTTTTATCAGTTTTAAGAAGCGACTTTTATATGGCTTTCCTGTTTTCTAAATTTGTAAAGCTATAAATTACCCCAATTATGTATCTCATAGATTTTGATATAGTACATTTTCATATTTATCCAATTCAAAATATTTTCTAATATTCTTCCTATCTTTTCTATAGTGCAGGTGTTAATTAGAAGTTTGCTTTTCAATTGTAAATACTCAGGATTTTCTACTTTTTTCCTGTTATTGATTTCTAATTTAATTCTGTAGTGTTCAGAAAATATATTCTGTATAGTTTCAACACTTCTAAGTTTCCTGAGATATTTTTTATGACCAACCATGTGGATGTTTTATGTCCATTTAAAATAAAGTATATTTTGCTGCTATGATGTGTAACAGCAGAATAGATAATGTCAATTAAGTAATGTTGGTTAGTTGGTTGGTTATGGCGTTTAAATATTCCATATACTTTTTGTTGTTTTTTCTTTTTTTATTTAAATAAATGAACACAAAACAGAAAAAGGGTAGAAATAAATCAGAATTTAAAAAAAATAAATAATACAGATTTTTAAAAAAATTAATGCTAAGGAATCACTAGTTGATAAATTACACATTGTCATCTTAGAAATAGTTATTCAAGTTACAAAATTAAAGCATAAAAAGTGGGCAATTAAACATTGTTCTGTTTACTGAGATAATTGTACTGAATAGTAAAATATAACTGTGAATTTCTGCTTCTGTTGTATATATGACATGCTTTGAGGGTTTTTTATCAGGTGCACATACAACTTAAGATTATAACACATTCTTGATGGATTTATCTTTTTATACTTGTAAATTGTCTTTCTTTATCCATGGCAAGATTCCTTATTCTGAAATGCTATACTTCTGATTTTAACATAGCTACCAAAATTACCATCATTACCATGATTTTCCCTTAAAAAAGCTTTTTAGTTAGCTTTGTCTTCATTTCACATGTAGTGTTATACAGATAGCATACAGTTGGATTATACTTTGTCTGTATTTTGACCACCTTTGTCTTGTAAATAGAGTCTTTAACTGATATGCAACTAATTGTTACTAATTCTACCATTCATAGTTTGTCTTCATTTTGTGTTTCACTTCTTTATTTTGACTATGCTTATTATTCCATTTATCTTCTTCATTGGCTTACGAGCTAAATATCTTTTTAATAGTTCTTGTGATATTTAAAATATTCACTTTTAAATTAATAATTCTACCTTCAAATAGTAACATGCAAGAATTTTATACCATATTTAAATTTTCCCCACTTATTTGTTGTGTTGTGGTTGCATATATTTTATGTTAGCTATGTTATGAACATGAAACACATTGTCATAATTGTTACCTTTTAATATTCTGTAAAATTTTTAGAAAAAAATATAAAACCCTTTTATATTTGCATTTTTACTGTCTTATGCTTTCATATTAATATGTAGAAAATGTTCTCTAAAGAAATAAAATCTTTGCTCAAATATTTTTATTCCATTTTCAGCATTGTTTTTCTCAAACGTTTTGATAATTTACATCCTCCTTTGGAGAAATATATATATATGCATACATATATATATATATATATATATATATATATATATATGGCAGGTATAAGTTGAAATGAATGAGAGAACTTTCTTGTTTTCTTTGTTAGCTCATGGTTCATCATTTGAAAAACGTATTCTATGGGAAATTACCTTAGATAAAATCTAGACACGGAAAGAAAAATCAAGGGTTGTGAATGGAACCAGGTCAGCCTGATATCTAGTCTCAGAGAGCCCAAATCTCTTCACTTAGAAACACAGTAACTTCAGTCTTCAAACTACATCAAATCAAATAATAATCCCAGCAAAATTCCTCACCAAATACTGTCCTATGCTTACTGAGTTAATCAGAAGTAAATTAAAATTCTCAGATACTTATACCCTCCTAAAGTGAGAACGTAAAGAACTACATCCATAAGCCAACCTGAAACCTCACCTTCATAAAATATTGGTCATATATGACCCAGTCCTAGATTTTTAACAAGGAGAATTCAGACTCTGTTGGTTCTGAAATACTGAAGAATTGGTTGGTCTCAGTGTTTTCAGGAAAGGGGCAGTGATGGGCTTTGCAGAGGAAAACATGTTGTAGTTAGGGGTTGTACCCAGAGAACAATTAGAATCAGTACATGGAGTTTATAAATTGTTTTATGATGGTCACTGGGAATTAACACAAGAAAATGCAGGAAATCTGTCCACAGTACCAAAGACATAGAATATTTCATCAAGGGTCTAAATCCCACAGCAATGTTCCACATGAGTCCATATGAAAACCCAGAGCTCATGATAATGCCTCCCATGAGTCCAATTGGAGGTCCAGAGCCCACAAGAAGGACTCATGCCAGTCTCTTTTATGGATCCACGCTGGGAAGGCCCACAGGTCAGCGGTGGAAGCCAGAAAGTCCATGCTAGTGGGGTGAAGGAGCTGTGCTGGTGGGATAAAAATTCTTTTTTTTTTTAATTTTACTTAAGGAGAGGAAAAAAAAGCAGAGAAAGGGTACAAGTTATACAGATTTACAGAAAAAAATAAACAGTAGGAAATCACTAGTTAATGGATTACATATTGTCATCTTAGAAATAATTGTTCAAGTCACAAAATTAAAGCTTGTAAAGTGGACATTCCAACAGTGAGACTGAAAACAGTTCTGCTCAATGATCCAATAAAACTCAGTGATATCATTTTCCATCTTATACACTTAAATATACATGCAGTTATATCATTTAGAGCACTTTCTTTTCCTCTCTTTTGTACAATGACAATTACACATTTTGGGTTTTGTTGCTCCCACAGTTCTTATTACTTTTTTGGAAGAGAGTAGAACCAAATGTGACCTAACAGAACAGAGTCAATCAAATCAAAAGGGTGGACATAATAGATAATGTAAAAGCATAATACAAGGTGATCAGTAATGGTTACCATAATGCCTCCTGCTATCTCTAATAGAATTGCCTATATCATCAGTTATAATAAAATTGAACAAAACAGTAAAGAACAAAACCGACAAAACCAAAACATTGGAGACATTGTAGGTCTTCAAAAGTAGATAAAAGTCAATGAGAATGGGCGTCATAATGAATCTCATTATCTTCACAGCTGTTGCCTAAACTTTCGAACCTGGTACTATCAACCAAAACAGAATAGGGGGACATCAGTCAAAAACAAGATGGTGAGAGTAATACAGGGCTTTAAATCAAGATAATGGAAAGTCAAAGTGGGTTACTATAATATATCCTGCTATTTTTTATTTATTTTTCCCTTAATTAAAAGGATAAAAATAAAAAAGTAAATAATGAAGTGGAGATTGAGATAAAAGAGGGCATAACAGCAAAACAGTGCAGATCAAAACATAACCATTTAAGCAGAATAGTGTTTCACCACAAGATAATCCTGACATAAAAGTAGCTACCATATTGTCTCTTTCCTTAAAATCTTTGAGTATAACTTCATATACTGTAGTATCAAATATATCAAAACAATGTAAAACCATTTAAGAGAATGATAGCATTACAGGGTATTTAGAATCAACTAACAGAAAATAAACAATGGTTTCTGTATAATCTCCTTGTCTTTAAAAGTTTTTGCTTATACTATCATACATAATAAAATCCAATAATATACAACCTGTTTAGACCAATGGAGACAGAAGAACAAAAGCTTGATGAGACTTCAAAACAAGATGATACTAAATCAGTATTACCTCTTAAGATGTCATTTTCTCCAAAATAGCTGTTCCTATCATCCAATCTTCTCTGCCTCATTTTTTTTGAGCTCTTTTTCTGTCATTAGTTGTCAGTTTGTCTTCTTCAATTTGTTTTCTGCTCCATTCGTTGTGGCCTCTCTGCCACTATTTCTGGATTCTTTGTATTTTTCTTTTTTAGAATGTCCTGCAGTATTCTCTGTAGAGTTGAATTGGTGGTTGCAAATTCCCCTAGTTCCTCTTTATCCTGGAAGCACCTTGTTTTTCCATCAATTTCCAGGGATAGTTGTGCAGGATATATCAATCTTGGCTGGAGATTATTATCTTTCAAAGCTTGAATTATTTCCCCCCCACGCTCTTTGTGATTTGATGGTTTGTGCAGAGAAATCTGCTGTAATTCTGATGGGTGTTCCCTTGTAAGTGGTCTGTTTCTTGTCTCTGACAGCTTTTAATATTCTGTTCTTGTATTGAATTTCTGGAATTTTTATTATTATATGCCTGGGTGTTGCTCTGTTTGGGTTGTAGGTGGCTGGGGTCCTGTATGCCTCATACATCTGAGTATCTTTACCTTTTGCTAAATTAGGAAAATTCTCCTGGGTTATTTCTGTGAGTAGCTTTTGTAGCTCATTTGTTTATGTCCCTACTTCTTCTTTTATGTTCTTAATTCTTAAGTTATGGATCCTCTTATCATCTTCTAGTCTTTGTATTATTGCTGTTTGTTTCTTTGTTACTTTTAAGAAGTTTTTCATTTCATTCTCCCATATTACAAATCTGCCCTCCAGTTCAGATAGTCTGTCCTTAGTTTCTTTCAAGCTGTTATGCCAGTTTTCGATAGACTTTTTAGTTTCCTGGTAGTCTCTTTGAATCTGCTTCACGTATTCTATGCTTTCTCTATTTTCTCCATCAAACAATTCTCCCCTCTTTTTCTGTTCTTCCATCCCACCATCTGTTTTTTTTCTTGGGTGGTGCTTAGCATTTCTCTGACTATTCTGCTTATTTCTAGCTTCAGGTCATTAATAAATTCATTCCTGAACTGATCTATGAGGCTCTCTAGATGGCGCTTTATGTCTATTGGTGCAGTGTCCGCTATTGCCTGTTTCTTAGGATTGGGGGCCGAGGACCCTTTCTTGTTGCTGCCTCTTCTCATATTCTTTGTTCCTTATATATGCAAGCTTATATAGGAGGCCCAGCTTTCCTCCCTGTCAGCCACAGCCTGATCGAATTGCGCTGGCTAGGTGTTCCCGCCCACCGCAGCACACCAGGAAATTGTAGACCAGGCAGCCTACGCAAGGCCCGCCCCTCCAGGCCACTCTCAGGCTCTGGGATCTGGGTTGTGTTAGCCTACTGGGTCTCCGCCAGTAGCGTCACATAGGCTAGCCACTTCTAACCAATCCCGCTTGAGAGGGGGATACGTGGCTGAGGTCACGGCAGTGCCCTGCTCCCGCAAGTCAGCCCAGTCCCAGAATGTCCTCTGTTGGAGTCTCCCAAACCGTGGGAAGAGTGTCAGTTTCTCTCACTCACCTCGCTGCAAGTCAATGCACAGCTCGCCGCCCGTCCTGTTTTCAACTCCGTTCGCCGATTCCCTTCTCTGAGCTTCTGCGCGTCTGTCTCCCTGCCAAGCCAATGTAGACGCAGCCACCATGCGGCGGGAAACCCAAATCGCGGTTTCCAATGGTGCGGGCTCCAGCCTCCACACTGAGGCCTCTCTGTTCCTGTTCTAGCCCCAGAACTGCATTCCAAGTTGGTTTCTCCCAGCCCAGTTCGTTCCTGAGTCAGCAGAGCATATCTCCACCTGCTTATGACTCCTTAGTCCGCACCATTCCTGAATTCTAAGCCGAGTCTTTCAGAGAGCCTCCGTAGCTGCTGCTATCTGTCCACCATGTTCTCCCGGAAGTCCTGGGATAAAAATTCTATGCTGGAGCTGAGAAGTCACACTCACAAGACCAGGGCTGTCCTGAAAGGTACCACAGCCATCCTCAGTGACGGGTACATGCCAGGAAGCCAGCATGATGAGTTCATCCTGGAGACCAAGTGGCACACATCTTCCCCTGGAGAGCCAGGAAGCAGTGCTTGATGTGAGGACCAGAGATTCTCCAGAGGAACCAAAGGCTCAAACAGCAACTCATAGGAGAACCCACAATGCTTCAATACAATGCATTAATGTCCCTCCTTCTCCTTCTTCACCTCTCTATTTATGCTGGCAAATTTCCTCAGGTGGAACATCTATGCTCAGTGCCATGCTGATCTAATCCAGCTGGCATTAAGTTGACCACCAGTTCTTAATCCATAACACCAGAGGCTATGAATCCCAGCGAAGGAGTGATCCTCACACCAGTATAAACACTGATCCACTGCCTTCTATTTGTTGGGAATACCACTAAGGATTAATTTCTTTAAAGTCACAAATAAAGACTTGAAGTTTATTCCAATGATATCAGGTGAGTTCAGAGTAGCATAGCTGTAGACTTAATGGGTCTTCAAGGAGTTGGTCAGTGGAACAGGGAGCACAAGAGATGAGATTAGAATTTATAGAGTACATAGAATTCAAATTTCTCTTAAATCTTCTTTCAGGAATTTTGTCACCTGCAGCAAGACACACAGTTACAAATGTCACCCTTGGTTTCAGGTCTCCAAGCTCAGATACACTTTCCTTATCTGCTCTGTACCTAATTCCCACATTCCCCTGCCCTCTACTTAGGGCCCAGGGAGAAGGTGACTTTCCCTGCATGCGCCCTGGTCCTTCAGGGGAACAGCAGTTAGGAGTCATGGAGCATTCTGACACTGAACACACCCACTCCCAGCTGAATTTAGGGACATCCCACATGCTTCAAGTCTCCAAGACATCCTCAACAAAAAGCTCAACTCTGCAGTGATGGCTGTGAAGGCCATCTGTGTCAAACTGCTCTCTGAAAGAGCCTCTCATAGGGCCTCTTTGAAACATCTGAAACTACACAGCGCTTCTTCATTCCAAAAACTCATTGTTTCCTTAGCTTGTGCGATAACATTCTTCTTATTATTTTGCCTCTGTTATTCTCTTTTATTCTTTGATTTTTTTGGTAGTATGTGAGCCATGTATGCTTGCCTTAACTCACCCTGCAACACTTTCTGGGGCACACACATTCCAGGAATGCAGGTCCCTATAATAACACAAACATTTGCTTGCTCTTCACAGAATCAAAAAGGATCCAGATTCTCCAGGTGGGATACAAACAGGTGGGTGCATAAAATTAAATACTATGAAACAGCAGAAAGCAACAGACTGTGTGCACTCACTTAGATCTATAATATAATACTGTTTTGGTCAATGACAAAAGCATATATTTTGAATAATGCTATATGTTACACAGGATACACACAAATAAATCCATATAGAATGTGTACTGAGAGGATGAGCTTCGTTATGCACAGAAAGACTGAAGGTAGAATCAACAAATCCATAGAGAACTTGGAGTTGCCCATTGTCATAGAATCATCTGCTGAGTAGTGTAACTGACTTAATCCTTTGCACCTGGGGTCCAGCTTGAGTAATGATGATGACGAGAATTAGTAAGGTGCAGTCATCATGATAGAAAGATCACTGCCTAATGGGAAAGAACTATAGAAACATAAAATTATAAATATGTACTGTGAGGTTTGCCATTCAGTGACCCAAGAAGAAAGCAAACGGTACAGGCACCTGTCACACCAGGTTGTGATTGTGTGTAGACACTGATCTGCCTCTTGGAGATTTTGGACTTTGTATTTTCTTTATAAAATGAGTAGCATAGGCAAAGACAAAGCCAGCAGCTTTGGATCTAAACTTCTTGGGTTGAATGCTACCTTCACAACTTCCTAGTGTGTGACCTAGTTCTAGTTGCTGAACCCCACGGTGTATATATGAAGATATCAGTATCTCTCAAGGAGTGAAACATGGGAGAAGTATTATTTACTTACACATAGATCACTTGTGAGTGTAAAATGAGATAATGTAAATGCTCAGAATAGTGCCTAAGCATATTAAGTACTCAATAAATTATCAGTGTTCTTATGGTTAGGCAGCTCTCTGCTGTTAATCCAGTAAGAGATCAATGTATATGTTATCAAATAGTTTTTTTTCTCCTTTTTAAAAATACCACACACACTAGGTCCCTCCTTTACTTTCCTCGGGGTGCTAAGATCCCCAGCTCCATAATAACTCACAGGGGTCCCTGGGCCCGGGGGTCACGCCTGGAACGCAGAGCCCTGATGATAAGCACGGTGCCCACGATGATGCCCACCAGGCCCACCACCAGGCCCAGGGCACAGACCACAGTCTCTGTTGTCTCTGTCACCTGGACGGGCTCCTGGGGCTCTGTGGAAAGATGAAGATTTGGGGTCAGGATGTGCACTAGGGATGGGACTGGCCTGGGTGCCTGTGGAGCGTGAAGGTCACAGACCATCTGATGGCACATTAGGGTAAGGGGAGAGGGAGTCTGAGGCCCCGGACCCTGGGAACTGAGGTCACAGAGGGGAAATGAGGCTCTGTACCCCAGTGCTTGAGATACGGCTCGTCCAGGCCCCAGTGCTCCACTTTGCAGTCATAGACATCCTCGGTGTTGGGAAGGAAGGTCAGGTAGTGGAACTTGTGAAAATTGTAGTCTGTGCGTGACAGGAAGATGCTCTCAGAAGCTCCCTCGGTGACTGGCTGCCCATTCTGCAGCCACGTGACATTGAGCACAGGTGGGAAGAACTTGTCCACGTGGCAGATGAGGGTGTTGGGCTTGCCCAGCTCCACAGGCTCCTTGGGAAACACGGTCACCTCGGGAGGATCTGAGAGAGGACAAAACCTGGTGAGCACCCATGTTCAGAGATGAATTGCAGAGATTGAATTACATCCACCTTGGATGTCATCTATCTCAGGCTCAGAGCCAGGAGCTCACTCCACTGATAAGCCTCACTCAGGTCACCCCTTCTCCTGAGTCACAGGGACAATGCAGGCCCTCAACTGCAATGGAGTGAGCCTATGGTCACTCAGCAGTGAGTACCTAGGTCTCCCACTCTATGAATGGTGGAGGAGCCCTCCCATCCCTTCCCAGCTGGGTGACAGACAGGAAGAAGCAAAAGTGGCCATTACCGCTGGGGGCCTGGGTGTGGTTGGAACGCTGGATCATGATGTTTAAGTTGTTCCTCAGTATGGCAATATTGGTTAGTGCAGCCTGAGCATCTAAGGGACTCAAGGCTTGACCAAACTCTAGCAGACGCCAGACCGTCTGCCTACTGTCCAGATCCACGTAGAACATCTCATCCTCATCAATATCAAATATAAACTCCCCTGAAGGTCTGCTCCTCTGGACAAACTCAGCATATGTTGACACATGGTCCGCTGCATAAAGAAAGTAGAGAAAAACATGATGAAATATAAAAGGCAAAATGTAAGTACTGTATCATGAGAATGAATATTTATTAATATAAAAGGCAGAAGAAAACACATCAAAGGATGAAAATACGGAAGAAGAAAAAAATAACACCAAAAAAAGAGAGAGAATGCAGAGATCAGAGTAGCTCTTAAAGGAAATGCAGGAGGAACCAAAGGAGACAAAGGTCAGCGAGTCATTCAACTGCTTCTTGGGCACTCAACATGTGAATTTTCCAACCGTACAGAGGTAAAAATAACAACAGTGACTAGGAACATTTCTTAAGCACACACTATGTTCTCAGCACCATTCTAAACACTTTATTTGTCTTAGTCATTTAATTGTCTCCATAAACTTGGAACACACACCTGGTGTTCTGTTTTTCAAATGAGGACATGCAGAGAAGTTAAGTGGCTTAATGTCACACAGCTTTGTGCAACAGTAGATTTCTCTCTCTCTCTCTCTCTCTCTCTCTCTCTCTCTCTCTCTCTCTTTCTCTCTCTCAAAGCTCTCAATTCTTCTAGTGCCACAGATGTAAAATTGTTTTTAGAATTTTGGAAGTGAAGAAGAAAGAATACTATTGTTTTCATTACAGAAAAAAGGAAAAAAAATTGGAAGATTGAGAGACAAAAAAAGTTTCTTCAGAAGTCCAGCATGGTGGTGCATGCTGATAATCCCATCACTCTGGGAAGTTGAGGCAGGAAGATTGAAAAAGCAAACCCACTTGGGCAACTTAGCAACTGATCAAGATTTTGGCTCAAGGGCCAGCAATATCACTCAGTGTGGCACACTGCCTGCAAGGCAAGCTCAGAGTCCTTAGCTGAATTCCCATTACTAAAAAAAGAAGGAGGAGGAGGAAGAGGAAGAAGAAGAGGAGGAGAAGATTCTGTTTTAAAAGATTAGTAAGTTAAGCAAGACCAGGGATGTTGTACAGTATGTTTAGTACCCAGTACCACAAAAAAATTCAAATTTTATTATTCTTTTTACTCTTCAAGTTTCTCTTTTGTTTATAAATGTGAACTTGGAGTATGCATAGCTTTTTTCATATTTTTTCATTTTAGAAACATAATACCCAAAAACATAGTACAGATAATTTGGTATTCATTTCAAACTTTCTTTTTAATATTTATTTTAAATGGAACTATAAGTATTGCTGAGTTTGGAAGGCCTGAGAGACTTAATTTTTGTTTCTCAGTTTATACCTTTAAAATAACAAAGTTAAGAAAATAAAATAAAATATTATCTTTAAATAAAAAAGAGAATATATGAGAATTTCTGGGCTTAGAGTGACAGGTGAGTGAGAGTGAAAGAGGACGTCAGGGCTTCCTTCAGCTCCTAACCCCTGGATTTCCCTGTGGGATTGCGGACCATCATGTGGGTACTCAGCAGTGTTTGGACACAGTGACAGTGAATCAGCTTTCACAGGAATTCCTCCTCCTTTCAGAGCAATTACACTCAGGAAAGAGAGAAAAACAAAGAGAGACAGCTCTCCAAGAAGATTTCTTAGTGAATTAAAGACCATTTTCAAAGGAGAATTGAGGGCCCAGAGATACATGAAAAATAAGGACAGAGTGAATTACAAAAACATTAAAAATTTTCCAATTAGAAAGCAAGAAGTGAACTGCAGTGAAACACTATCAATCATTCAAATCAGAGAGAGCCGACAGAGCACACACCAGGTTTAATCTCACATGGCATTAGCGATGGCCACGACGAGCATCCTGGGGACACACTGGAGACGGAAGACAGGAGCTTAGCTATGAGACTGAGGAAAAGGAAAAGCATCCCCAGCGCAGAGTGGAAAGTAAAGCAAAGGGTTTTCATGGTGGGCTCATGTTTGTGTTTTTAAGATTACAAACCTGTTTCTATGTTGTCAGGGAGGGAGAGCAGCAATCAACAGAGCGCTGGGTTAGTCTGTAATGCGCATCACAAGCCCTAAAACATCTTATACCTGTGTGAAGAGATGCTCACTGTGCAATCTGTTATTACACAGCATTGCAAATAACCCAAAGACCCTGCACAAGGCATGGGCATTTCTGTTTCTCTGTTGTTCCACTTCTTCTTCTACTACGCCTGAACTCCTCACTTTAAAGTAAATGGTCCGAGGGCCAACCTGCATCTTTTATATTAGGAGTTCTAATCCTTCACTTTAGTATTGGGGGAGGGATGACAAATACCCACTACAGTGTGATGTTCCAAAGTCAGCAGCAGGGAAAAACAGCATATCACGATTTACAATTCCTGGGTGAATCTGTGATTACCCAAAGTCTAGTACTCTGGTGCCAGTCACTGTCATGTGGGTCTCTCAAGACCCGGATTACAAGGTTAACAAAACAGGAAAAGCTTCTGTCTTGAGACAAGAAGTCGTGAAAACCAGCTGCAAAGATCCTGGGGAGATGTAGGAACTTGGGAGAGAGGGACAAATACAGACGCTGTCTTAGGAATCTCTCCCTAAAGTTCTGACACAGGGAACCCACACCTCTAGGCCCCCCCAAAAGCAGTCACACAAAGCAGGGCTGAGGTCCAGGAGAGGTGGGGTGTTGGGGCTCCCTTAGAAAGTCACTGTGTGGAGAAGTCTGGGGATGCAGAGCATGAGCTTCAGAACCCAATCGGAATATGAAACTTGGCTTGTGGACCTGTAGTACAAACTTGGCTAATGTACTGATCCTACTGAACATTAGCATTTTAATCGCTAAAGTGAAGGGAATAATATGTTCATTGAGCATTCTTGTGAGGCACAAATGTGGGCAGCAAGAAATAGATGCCTAGGAAATTGTGGGGGCTCTCTCTGGAGTGGCCATTGGAGTAAGGGGGACAGAGACGAACCTCACAAGAGGAAACAAAGAAAAAGGACTTCGAGGAAAATAACAAGTCCCTAAAATTGCCTAAGCAATTAGCTGGTTTCCTCCCCCGCCCCTCACCCAGACCCTCTCCCACCTCCTCAGCACTCACCCTTGATGGCCCCAGCTCCTTGGAGACTCAGCAGGAAAGCCAGGGAGAAGGTGCTCAAGATCACAGCTTTGTTCTGGAACATTCTCTCCTTAAAACATACAGTGTGGAATTTACAGTTGACAAGTGTGGGGAAAGGAACAATGATGAAGTCCAGAGGAAGAGAAGGCACAGAAAAGAGCTCTGAAATTGAGGGCTTTACAGCCTGATAATAATCGTAAGTGGAAGAAATCAGCCTGAGCATGGTTAGCCCTAACCAATCAGAGAAGCAATAGAGCTGATGCTCTCTGTTGCTGGGTAAACAGGAGACTGAAGAGAGCTGGAACAGAGAGGAGGGTTTTCAGGAACCAGCATGAGCCAAGTGTCTACAGTTCATAGTTCATTTTCAGAGCTTGAAAGAGACTTGAATCGTACATGTTTCTGATGCAAACGTTCTATATCGCGCTGCCACGTGTCTTATTGAATCCCCATACCTAATCCTAAGCATTCAAATTATCCTTGACATTGTGTCCATTATTTTTCTAAAGAATTTAAAGTTATTTCTTCAAGTTTATGAAAATATCCTGCTGCTTTTTAAGGATGAATGCTCTACATAATAAAATTAATCTTTCTTTTAGGCCCACTATCTGCACTGTCTTCCTTCTATTTGTCTTTTTACATAGAAGTCTTATAGATTTTATTTAGAAATTTTAATGGAGTTGATATTCAAATGCTATTTAATTTCTGTTTACCTTGGTTAGTAAGATTTCTACAGTCCTTTTTATCTAGGTTTCTTTTTTTTCTGATATATAAGCTATCTGAAGTAACATTTTTTCTCTTTAAATTACTAGTCATTTTATTTCCTTTTAATATAACAATATAATATAATATAACTAAGAGCATTATACTATAATTATAATATAATATAACTAAGAGCATGGTAATGATGGGCATTTTTATTTTAATCTTTGTTTTGTTGTTTTTTGAGACAAGATTGCAAACCTGTCTGGTCATGAACTCCTAGGCTCAAATGAGTTCCTGCTTCAACTTCCTGTGTAGCTAGAACTATAGACTGATTTTATTTTATTAGGGATTTTCTAATGCTTTCCTACTACAAGTAGTATTCATTTTCTTGCTTTATATTTTATTTTCCATATTTAGGAAGTTACCTTTCTTGCCTTACTTGAGGTATTTTTACTTTGAAATATTTCTTTGATATTCACATGTAAGACTGCAAAATAATTAACACTTAATGAGATAAGAAAAATATTCCTCTTGTTTTGTGGTAGCCTTCTTTTGCATGAGCAAGAATGAAGTATTAACATTTTGGAACAGAGAGAGGCCATTTTTTAATGCTTTACAAGTATTATCTGATTCAATCATCATTTCAAGACTGTCTTATTAATGTTCATTCTAAAACTAAATTATATGGACATTATGGTAAGTATTGGACTGTTGTCTATAGCAGATAAATAACAAGGAGGGATTCAGTTTGAGCAATTTTGTTCACAAACCTCACCTTTTGTTCTACTAAAGGTCTGTGCTAAATCCTCATTCTTAGTCAATACCTTATGTTATATAATTGTTGTCTTTCCTTGAATTTTATATGCCCCTATTTTATTTAAACTTTGGTATCTATATAGATAAACAATGTCAGTTTGACATGTTCTTTGTTATTAGAATGTGTGGTCCAACAGAATCACCATTTACCAGTTTTTTTTTCAAAGTAGTAAAATACAACAGAACAAGACAGAATAAAGGCAACTGAGACCGTGCAGTGAAATTGGTACAGAACTTCACAGCAGGTTACCAGGATAACAGTAATAGGTATCACAGTATATTTCATTATCTTTACAATAGTTGTTCTTTCAATTATGTATATCAAAATAAAATGAAATACAGAATTATACGGCGCCGCGGGCAACGAAAGACGTAACTGTGTTTGGATCAGCTCTCAATATTTATTGTGTACAGCAAAGCTGGATCTGACAAGATCCGCCACCCTCAAGTTTCTTCCTCTTCTGCCCGTTGGGGGCAGAAACACACACTTATATAGGATCTGAGTAACCAATCAATATGAAGCAGAAGTCGCATGCTGATAGGCCACAGTCACCGGTAGCTAGGTAGACACTCATTTTGGCAGGGTTGTTTGCGCGGCAACAGGGACCCGGAAGCAGGAAACGGGCGCCATCTTAGGGGAGCGGCTCGAGCAACCCCCAACATCTCCCCCTTTTTTATTTAAATTTGATACACAAATCACATGGGTCTTTTCCCCTCCGCCCGTATACTGTGGCCAGTGCCAAAAGAAAAGGGGAAGGCCCAAGACAGGCCGGGACAAGAGAGAGTGCAGAGGTCTATACCCTGCTGTGCACCATCTCATTCTATGCATATCTTTGCGCTAAGACCATGCTTGAGATGGGGTGCTCATTTTTCGCAGGGCCAGGCATTATTGAGCGGAACCTGGATGCATATAGACATGCATTCCTATCACCCCCTGTTCAGCTCAACCAGGGTGGATGATACTGCAGTACCCTTGGTCTCGCATCTCATTGCCCCTGTTATTCGTACTCCCCAACACATCCGAGGAGGAAGAGGAGGAGGAGGACCCATGGGTGCAAACAGCCAATTTAAATCTGATGTTCTGCCAGGCACAACAAATAGGCCGCAGCCGGTCCCCCTGTCGGGCCCTGTTCTGTAAGTTGCATAGCGGCCAGCGCCGTAAGCCTAACTTGTTGTTGAGTCTGCATTAATCGATCAAGCAAACACTTAATGACCACTAAGCCTACTAGTATGGCTACAGCTATGAGGACCCAAGTGGTGAGGTTAGGCCACGAGAACCATGACGTTACACGATCCCACATGGATTTCAGGACTGTCCCCAGACTATCAAGGTCATAGGTTACTGGCTTTAGGTGGATATTGTCCATGCGATCAATGGCACCGAACACCTCTGCGGAGATGTTTTTAAAAGTAGGAAGGTAGGTGTTTTGGAGCCAGTGCGTCACCTTTTTGGTAGTGCCAGTTAAATTAGTGCGAGCGGGGGTCACGCAGAGGCGGGCAAACAGCCATCTTTGATCGCATAGCTGCATGGCTACATTCCAACGGTTGTCAATCTCTTGTCCGATTTCGTCAATCTCCTTTTGGATCTCTAAGATGGTCTGGCTGTTAAGTTCAATGAGGAGCTCTTGTTTCCTCAAGGCGTAGGCGGTCTCATTGGCAAGATTGTTGACTGCTTCCATGGTCAAGGCTATCTGATTCATGGTCCACGCTTGTAACACCGTTTGGCCTATGGCTGGGACAAAAACAGAAGCAGCAACTCCGAGAGCATTAATAAGCCAATCTTTAACACTTCTAGTCTGTCTGGAGGGTAACTGAGAAGCTGAAATCTGTTGGACTACTGGACCCACCCAAGAATTTGTCTCTACTGGTACCCAAAGAAAGCTTGGGCGATATACCAAGACAGCGAAGGACGGGTGTCCATTCCAGCAGTTAGATAAACTGCAGAGAGAGTCGGTTTCATTGCAAAGTTGGAAGTTATGTGTGGTGGCAAGGAGAAATAGGAAGGGTGGGTCCACACAAACATAATTATGAAGGGGGGTAGTGCTATTGCTTTCACTATTGCTCGTGGATGTACTATGGAGCGTTCCATTAAGGGTGAGAAATGGCCTCAGGTCCAGACAAGCCTTTAACAGGTTGCATATCTGATGTCCTGTAAATACCTGTGGCCCTTGAAATGCTGTATATCACAATGTCCAGTATAATTCATGAAGGAATTATGGTGTGGCTGTGGGCAAGCAATGGCGCCAGAAAAGATTTTGCATAATATCACCTCTCAATAAGGCAGGATGATGAGAGGGAACACAAGGGTCCATCCATGGATGTTCCAACGGATGAGGGGACCGATTGCAATCTTTAAGATCTATGGAGGGCCATCTTACCTCCATCTTGAGGCAGCGTGTTACATTACCTTGCTGGCTTACAGAATCAAGACATTCTCTGCGTGTCCAATTGAGGAAGTTAATGAACGGGCGAGAATCATTATATAATGCATAGGACTCGTTGCAGGTGAAGTTAGCATAGGAGAAAACAAGGGTATCTTCTTTCAGCGGAAAGGAAGCATTAAAGGGAAAAAGGCTTGGGGAAGTTCACTTATAGGGGAGCGATATAGAAGAGTCATTAGGCACAAATACCGTGGGAGCACTAGGAGATAGCGCAGAAAAAGGGGCTAGAGTAGGGGGATGCCTCCAGAGTCCCCACAGATATGTGGTCGGCTCTGGGTGCGCCACGGCAGGATGGAGCACATACAACAGACAGAGGACAAGATTACTTATCCGGATCCCTGGGTGTTTGTCCTCCCAGCGATGCTTTTCCTCCATCTTTTGATGAGTCATCTTGGATTTCCCGGTATGCTGGCTGAGGGTTCACCGTTCGTACCAACCGCTCGGGGATCCACAGGGGTTCGCGGCCTGGTTCCTGTGGGAAGACACATACCGCACCTCGGGTCCAGCTGACTACTGGATCCGGGCCCATCCATTGTCCTGTGAGGACATCCTTCCATCTCACTAGGCCTTTATCAGAAGGAGATGGATTGCAATGCTCCGCGGCAGGAGAATGATTATCATTATTGAGGTTCAAAAAATTTATGGTAAATAATGCAAGGGATAACCTCCCTCTGGGTGGTAGGCCATGGCCTATTCCCTCCTTTTGTTTTTGCAGAACGTCTTTGAGTGTTCTATGAGATCTCTCGATTATACCTTGTCCCTGAGGATTATAAGGTATGCCATGTTTAAGAAGGACTTCCATCTGCTGACAAAATGTTTGAAATGTTTTACTAGTGTAAGCAGGGCCATTATCTGTCTTTAATATAGCTGGTTTGCCCCAAGCAGCCCAAGCTGCGAGACAATGACTAATAACTTGAGTTACCTTTTCTCCAGTCTCCGCTGAGGCAAACATGATCTGTAAAGTGTGGGGAGTCCTCTGGGTGTAGGGGAATGGAGAAAAAGCAATCCCTAAGGTCTATCACATAGACCGGCCAATTTTGTGGCAATGCTGAGAGAGTGGGCATACCTCTCTGGACCGCGCCCAAGGGTTGCATCTGAGCATTTACTGCTCGCAGATCATGAAGAAGTCACCATTTCCCTGATTTTTTCTTAATGACAAAAACAGGAGTGTTCCATGGGGAAGTAGAAGGTTTAATATGCCCTGCTTGGAGTTGCGCCTGTATCAATTCTGAAGCTGCTTCTGCCTTCTCCCTTGGTAGGGGCCACTGTTGCACCCATA